CCCCAAAACCCCAAAACCCCAAAACCCCTAATTGCAGTATCATAATTGAGAGAAGGAATATTTAGAATTTATCGAATCTTAATTATGAAATGGAGGATGATACTCAAGGCAAGGACCGTTTATAATGACTCTTGGGTTCCCAGGTAAGTCATTAGGGTAATATCAGCATATTTCATAATATAATTAGACCAATTACTCATTACTCTATATGTTCAGATAATTTCAAAGAAGTTATCTTTTTGGAAAGGTATTCTCACTATCTTTTTCATAAAATTTGCAAATTTACAGGCAATAAAGATTCCAAAAGTTTATATCTTGAGATCTCCTGTAAATTCTAAGGCGGCCTATCCTCGTACTAATCCAGAGGTTGAGCTACCAATGTAAGCCAGGTGGTGCTATCCCTATTTCCTTATCCATTATGCTATCCATTAAGACTAGAGAAACAGTACGAATTTAGGCTTCGACACTTTCTAAATTTAGTTCGATGGCATCTAAACGTTTTATGACTAAAGTCTTTATTGTAGTATTTTAAAGAATTTAATTACATCAAGCAGTTCTTGTTTAGTCTTGAGTATTGGTTGAGGTTCGAGCAGAGAGCATCTCCCATCTTTGAATAGAACTTCCTTGCAGGAGCCTTGTAATTAGATTTCTTCTTGCTTTTGGTTATTTTGCTAGAATTCATGGCAATGAACTTTGAAGGAGGGTTTTTAATAAGGATGTCATGTACGAATTTCTTATTGGCCTTGAGAGAGCTCTTTTTGCCGCTGATTGCTCTCTCCTCCAAATTATTCTGATTGTGGAGTTGGTTGTATATTGGGTTCATCTTTTTCTTCCAGTTCTTATAAATTTTATGATGTTGTTTGTGTTGAAGTTTATTTGAAAGGTACTTTTTGTTACTCAGTGAGCAGGCTTGAGCTTCTCTAAACTTGCCTTCTCTGGCAAGATTAGTTACTTGATGAGCAGCACTGACAGCGATCATACTGAGATCTACTTTTTGTTCAACTTTTCTTTTATCATTACTTGATCTCAAAACTTTTGTAATAGTTCTGATGCATTTCTTACCATCTAATTTAGTAAATTCGATGATTCATTGGAATGGTATACTTTTGAGTTCATCAAGATTAAATCCTTTCAACTTTTTAAGATCTGGGAGGCTTTTAATTCTGTATGAAAATGTGACTTGGCTCTGCTCGCTCACATTACCTATTCTCTTTATGAGCAAAGTCTTGCCAGATCTCATATTATTTTCATTTTCATTCCTAAACTCAATCGCTCTGTTGAGTTTCACCTTCAATACAACGTTTGTAGCTATGACAGCACTCTTAACGATATTAGCAAACCCTGATTCAGCTTTGTTCGGGTCAATGATATTCACTTCACCTCCTGTATTATCACTCAGTGTCATCAAAGTCTGTAGGTCAGAATGCTCTCCTTTCATACTGATCAGGTGGACTCCAACTGCTTTCTGATTAGCGTACCAGGCAAGTTGGTCATAAAATGCATCTAGCTCTTCTGCTTTCTTTCTGACTCCATTTGTATCCTTCTTCACATCTGCGAGGTTACCAACTCCTACATTTGACAAGCCATCTGTTCAAATTACGACTGTTGATCCCCTTCCTAACTTTCCTGCCATTGCAATTGAAACTACAGCTGCAGGTCCCAATGCTGTTTTTCCACTCATTTCTTGATTTTTGATCAATTTCTGAAGATTCTTCAGACTTAAGTTAACCCCTTTACGCATAAAAATGTCAGCACAGCTCTCTCCTCTTGCCAAAAGATCTTCATATGAGTTGAGTATCTCTGGATCACCTTTATTATTTGTATTTTTCAACACTAAATTATTTTCTGCTTCCATCCCCATGAATGTGAACTTCATGATTGAAGAAGACGACTCCAACTTTCCTCTTTGTTCCTGCCATTTCTTTAATTTGTTTTAGAATTGCCTTGCTGACAACTTGATATCTTGACTGTCCTACAGGGACAGTTTTTGGGCCATTACTAAATCCCATATTGGCCAAGATCTTAGATGGGCCACAGATAGCAGGTAAAAAGCCTCCTTTCTTCTTTACAGGAGAATCTTTTAAAGATAAAAATGGTTTTTGGGTTGCAGAACTTTTCATTGATTTACTCACATCAATGCAAAAGATTATGGGAGCTTCATTGTTAGTACTCTTAAATTTTTCCTCTTCAGGCTTGAAACTAACGTACTCATTATCAAGAAAATAGTTTAGAGCTTCTCTATTTGGAGCTTCTTCTGGCTCGACAACAATAGTATTTTTAAACCTACAGAACTCGCAAGTCCAAATGCTTTGCTCATAATTTGGTGGAATTGGTCCAAAAATTTTACTATGGATGTTCAATACAGCATTTCAGGCTTCACAGAAGATAGGATCTCCAGAGGCGATATGGCCATCACTTTTCAAGACCTTCAAATCAATTGACATCACATTGGTGTCAACTTCTCCTTTAAAAACTCTTCCTTGCCGATGTTCTCTTACTTTCTTTTTGTTGGCTCTTGGGTGTTTAATTATATCCTTCTGTCATTTTGATGAAGATTTTTCCCTTCTCACCGGTATGTTAGAGTAATTGGAGTATTTGAGATTATTTGTATTCAACTTTTTTTCTATTTAAGCTGACAGACTTGCTAGCTTTACTATTCATAATTGACTCATTCATCTTGGACATGTACTTATAAGAAGCATTCTTCTTGATCGGAGGATTGTACATGTTCCTTTTAAACCCTGGGCTAAGGTCCATCCCATAGGCTTCTTCACTCCCAGAGTCAAGGCTATTATTTAAAGAATCAGAGTGAACTTCCCATTCGTTCTCTTCGATTTCCTTAACTTCTTCTCCAAGGAAGGCTTGTTGTATGTTCTTTGGAATATATGTAAATTCTGAGCAAGGGTTCATTTGATTTTAATAATCTAAATCAATCTTTTTATATGCTAAAGGGGTTTTGGGGTTTTGGGGTTTTGGGGTTTTGGGGTTTTGGGGTTTTGGGG